CCTGCAGTGGGAACCAAAGCAGCTGACATCATTCTCCTCTCCCCCATATGATCCGCACAACTACCCTATGAGGTATGTTATGGTTGAAAGTGTGTGAATGGTCCATAATCCCCCAGGCAGCTTTTAAAACATGAACCTGGGACCTGCACACCATCTTCTGAAGCGCTCTCTGTGGCAGTAATGGGGTGACTGCTGGCACCTTTTCCTATCATTTTTTGCCTTGTGGTATTCTGCTTGTGGTGTGATCTGTCTTCTTTGTGATGTGGCATGATTGTGTTATTGGGTTTGGTTTTTTTGAAGGGGAAGTGATGTGTTGTGAGTGAGGACATATTTTACCTCAGAGTACAGTAGGTTCCATATGCAACTGGCAATTCCAACTGCCTTGCGGGGGGGAGTTTGAGGTGTGGAATGGAGTGAAGTCCAATCAGCTTCCATATGCAAAAGACCTTGAAACGCTGGGCGGGACTGCACAAAGCAGCCAGTCAACCCAGCCAGCGTCTTCTGACTGACAGTTCTTGCGGCCAAACACTAAAGGTGTGCATTTTGGAACGTTGGAACCCACTATGGCTTTATATATAAGGGAGATATATGTGTGTGTGTGTGTGTGTGTGTGTATACTGTGTTCATAATCATAGCAGCTAAAGGCATCGTGATAAGGATGATAATTATTAATTATCTTGAAAATCCAATCTGAGCCAGGAGGAATCTTGGGCGGGCAGAATGCATTATTAAGATACATGTATTTTGGAGCAGTGCCACTTTTGGTAGGAGCACCATCCACCACAGATATTATTTTTAAATCAGAGATGTTCCTATTCGGGTAAAACTCTCATTCTTTCAGTGGAATCTTTCTTGTCACAAATTCAAAAGTTGTTTAAAAATAGTCTAGGTGGGGAAATCTCCATCTAATCAACATTACTGTGAAGATGTGTAACCTACTGGGCTCCAATCCCTGGTCATAGTTCATTTTTTGGTATTAACCACAGTCCACTGAGCGAGAACTCTGTGCAGCCGATGCCAGGAGGTGTGGGAAACGACACCAAACTGGGGATTCTTCTTCCAGGCAAATACTTCCCCCTCCCAAGTGACTTAAAACAGCCAGATGCTAGCAAGAATATACCAAGACACTTCCCACTGCTTGCCCACAGAGGCTGCCAGAAATAGGTGACAGTCCCACAACTGGAGAAACCAAGCATCCTTCCCCCTAAAGTTTGCCTTAGTGCACTGGTTCCCGAAGTGGCCAATACTGCCCCCCTCGGGGGCGCTGGAACAATCCAGGTGGGCTGGAACGATCGAGGTGCAGATCCACAAACTGCATCTTTTTGTCCACCTCTTAAAGGTAGGTGCCCACTGAGGATTTTTTTTTCTGAAAAGGGGGCGATAGGCCAAATAAGCCTGAGAACCTCTGGTTTAGTGGAAAAGGGTGCTTCATGTATGCAACTGAACTTTGACCTGCCGAAAAACAAGTGTACACAAGGTCTATAGCAGGGGAAACCCTTAACGTACCATCTCCAATATCTTGGGCAAGCTTACTAGCCACTGCCCTGCCCCCCTGTGGGGTGGGAGGAAGAAAGAGACTGCTTACTGGAAAAAATTAATTCAAGCCAGGATTGAGGCCAGCATAACTGAGGAAGTGTCAGGGCCCCAGGAAGGTTCCACTGCTGTCTCCTAACCCAGCAGATGGGGGATGTACTCTCCTCCCTCCCTGGACCTCTTTGTTCTGATGGTGTGTTTTCCAAGGTTGTGACTTCTCCTCTACCTCACTCTGCTCATTCACCCAGGTGAGTGAACAACTGAGCAGCAATTTCAGGAAAGTCCAGCAATGCTGTCTCCACACCCATCTGCTCTCACATCTCCTCTGGGTCAGCACCCACCAATCCCTTTAAGGAGGCTCACTTCAAGTGCTGCCAAGAGGGGCAGGATGCGTGAGCAGGTGGTGAAGTTGGCTCCTAACAGCATCCATCACTACATAACTGCTCTGCCAACTTGGCAGAAGGAGAGGTGGGAAAGAGGAGGAGAATCAGGGATCAGATTACATCATCAACTGACCAAGGCACACTAAAGCAGCCCAATTTGAGCCAATGAAGGATTCTCCAGTGTTTTCTGGAGTTGGAGAGAAATTCACAAGTGGATGCTGTTCCAAAGCCAGGTAGCAAAAGCACTACTTGAGGAGGAAACATGACCTTTCTGTTGAAATGTATACGCTGAATGGTTAAAAAGACAGGTGGTTTGATGCAATCCTTCAGCAAACTCCTTCCGCAAAGCCAGCACCATCTAGCCTGGTTTGACCTTCCACAAACAGCCTTTCTAAGTTCATGCTGGGCAAAGGAGCAGAGGTCCTTCCTGCTTCCTGACTGCACTTGGAAAGGAGAGTGCCTGGAGGGTTGGAGAGGCCCAGCTGGCAAAGATGTCAGACCTTGCTAATAACTGGTATTTATCTCAGGAAGGACTGAGCTCTGTCTCGATCAATCACACAGTTAGAGGCGCTGCTGCTGCTGATGCAGCTGCTGCAGCCATCTCCCTCTTGCTGCCTGCACTGAGAAAATAACCAACTTCAGACAGCTTAGAGGGAAAAGAGGTTATTGTTGCTCAAGTGCTTTGACTCCGATCCAGGCCACTGATTCCGTATCCAGTTTGGGCATAATGCAAAAGCTTCATACAGAAATAAGCACCCATCAACATGGAGAAAGAAACTGTCACCCAATTTAAATGTGTGGTCTCTAATCCTCAATCAAATCATCCCCCCCCCCTAATATCCCATTACAAAAAAAAATCCCTGAAAAGCCAAGACCTAAGCCATCTCCAAACATTTAACTTCAGCTTTTGGCAAGCAAGCTTAGGAAAGTAATTTGAGAGAAATGCTGGGTTGACATATTCATTCTAAACAGAATTAAAGAGACAAATGGAAGTCAAAAATCCATCTTATGCCCTCCAACATTTCATGTGCAAAAATACTGGCACAAAGTTCTAACTGCCCAACTCTCAGACCAGGGATCAGTGCCCAATGCATACCATTATGTATTGCTGAAGGCTCTATGCAATTGGCCATATGCTGTATTAATCTTTTCAGCAATATCAACAGATCAAAATCTATCTCAACAGCTGCAGGGCATGAAGTAGCAAGCTGTGCATTGCATGGTGCTTTAATGTTCACATGCACACAAGATGTATCAATTCCCCACTCTGCAATATAACTTCCAGAAATCCTGGCTACGGAGCTAAACCCTGTGGGACACTCCGAAATTCACACCAGCAATATGTTAACAAGGCATTCCTAAAAAGCCAAAATAGGGACAGTGTTTCTTCCAGGGACCAGGAAATGAGGACTGTCCCTGGTGGTTGGAACATATGTTATTCTTTCCAGTCTTCAAGAAACAAAATTACACATAAACATTTTCTCTACTGGGTAAGGAAAAACTTCCCTAAAGCTTAACAACAACAACAAAGCTAGATGCTTTCTCTCTACGAGGCTTATTTCCATTCCAAAGTACCATCCCAAAACAAAGCAAAAAATAGCTGCTCAAAAATGGATTTTTTCTAGTATATTCTGAAAAGAAAGAAAGAAAAAGTCCAGATCTTACCCTGACAATACGCCAAGAACCAGGTTGAGCATAAAAAAAGAACCGATGATGATGAGTGGGATGAAGTAAAGCCAGTTCCAGGTGTTTCCTGCAGCATCATTTGTCTGGAAAGATAAAGAAAGAAAGAGAGAGAGAGAAATGTTTTCAAACAAACTCTAACCTTACATGTCTCTTCTACAAGAAACCATGCACAGGGTTGCTTTTTTTTTTTGCTGATATGCTTCAGGGTAACATAGACAATAAACTGGTGAATGGTTTCCTTATGGTAGGAAGTTGGAGCAAAACTGATAGCATTCCTTACTTCCCTGTTAAGCATACCTTTTCCACCATTGATGCCACCAGGTGTCCAAGCAGGGTTGTAATGTTCTAACAGGCACTGCACATGTACAGTCCTACATACACAGGACTTACATTTGATATGATCAATTTCTTGGATAAAATCCAAAACTGACATAAATCTATGTCTGTAGGCCTTATTTGATTGTTAAGTATTCATTACATTTAACTTAAAGCCTGCCCTCCCCTGCACCGCAGGGATCAGGGTGGGTAACACCAATGTTAAAAAAATACTGTAAATTAGTTACTAAAAACAATTATCACAACAGTAAATTAAAAAATCAAATCAGGTGGCATATACAGGCACAAGGGAGTATAACTTGTCCAAAGCAAGGTTGTATAGCCTGTGTGTCAATGGATAATAAGCTGGTGCAATTGACAGGATAGATGGTGGCGAAAAGGGCTGGGGGAGGCCAATTCAGATGGAAACCTCATTGCCTCAGCTGCAGGCCTGACAAAACATTTCTGCATTAAATTCTGCAGGGCCTGGATGTCGTCTGGAAAAGTGTTCCACCAGGCCAGGCCCAGGGCCGAAAAGGCTCTGGCTCAGGTTGAGGCTAAACAAAAGCTTTGGGGGCTGGGGATTACCAGGATATTGAGTGCTCTTTGGGGGACATACCAGGAGAGACAGTCCCGTAAATATGTTGGTCACAGACTGTGTAGGACTTTAAAGGTTAGAATGAGGGGTGTGCAAAACAAAAATCGGTATTTCCTAATATTCCCAAATCCCAATATTGGTATGATAATGGGATTCAGGAAATAATCAGGATTGCCTAATTATTCGGCTCCATTATACCCTATGGGGACCATCCCCATTGGGTATAATGGAGAAGGGGGTGAGTGAGCTTGCACCACTTCCGGGTTCACTTGTGTGTGGCTTGGCTTTGCAAAAGTTAATTAAAGGGGACTTGCCCTTTAAATTACTTTTGCAAAGCCAAGCCATGCGCGAGTGAACCTGGAAGCGGCACCAGTTAACCCACCTTCTGGGTAAACTCATGCTGCATCTGGGTTCACCCGAGTGTGGCTTAGCTTTGCAAAAGTTATTTAAAGGGGACTTGTCCTTTAAAGCCACTTTTGGGTTCACGCACGCACGGCTTGGCTTTGCAAAAGTCATTTAAAGTGAAAGTTCAACTTAAATGATTTTTGGAAAGCCAAGCCAGCCTATGCCACCACGGGGCTTGGAGAAGGCATTTAACTTTAAATGCCTTCTGAAAGCCACCACTGCAGCAGCAGCAGTGTAGGAGAGTGACTTCAGAAGGCATTTAAACTTTGAATACCTTCTGAGTTCAGTTCTATTCAGTGAGTGAAGCTGAGCCTGAATAAAAGCCGAATAATATCAGCTTTTATTCAGGCTCAGCTAGATCGGTAGCCAAATCAGATTAGAGAATCTGATTTGGCTGAATAAATACATGAATAATACCAATAAGGTATTTGTGGGTATTTATTCAGCTCGGTAGATACCAAGCACACAACCCTAGTTAGAACCAAAACCTTGAACCTGATCAGGTATTCAACTTGGAGCAGTGCAGCTGGTGGAGCACTGGTTGTGTGTGGGCTCTAAGTGGTGGCCCTGTAAACACACACACAGCCATGTTCTGGACCAGTTGAAGTTTCCAGGCCAGTCTCAATAGTAGCCCTGCATAGAGCGAGTTACAGTAATATAATCTGGAGGTGGCCATTGCATGGAACACTGTGGCTAAGTCGGGACAGGAAGGGAAGCAGTTGCTTGAGTTGGCACAGATGGGAAAATGCCAGTTTGGCAGTGTTCGTGATCTGAGGCTCCAGAGAAAGGGAGGCATTAAGAAACACACCCAAGCTTTTCTCAAATAGCATTGGTGTTATTGGCACACAGTCAAGAGCTGGAAGTCAGCATCCCAACCTGGGATTTCCTCAGTTCAGCCACAGGACCTCCATCTTTGATGGATTTAATTTCAACTGGCTCAACCAATCAACCACAGCTTCTAAACCCTTGGCTAAGTTATCTGGGGCAGTATTTGGCCAGCTGGCCATCAACAGATACAAGCTGGGTGTCATCTGCATACGGTTGACACCCCAGCTCAAAGCTCTGTATCAGTTGGGTGAGGGGGCCCATATAAATGTTAAATAACATTGGGGAGAGGATTGCCCCTTGGGGAACACGGCACACCAAAGGGTATCGCATTGAAACCCTCTCCCCAAGTGCCACACTCTGTCCCTGACCATGGAAAAATGAGACAAACCATTTCAAGGCTGCCACATGAATCTTCACATTGGCAAGGTGGTGGGTCATCTGTGAGGGTGACCAGTGCCATCTCCATCCCATAGCCAGGTGCAGAAACCAGATTGGAAGGGATCAAGGGCTGAGGTGTCATCCAGGAATACCTGGAGCTGTTCTGCTGCCACTCTCTCAACTACCTTGCCCAGGAACTAAAAATTTGAAACTGTGCAGTAGTTGGATAGATCAGTGGGAGCCAGAGATGGTTTCTTTAAGAGGGGTCTCACCACTGCTTCCCTTAAGGTCCCTGGGAAAGTCCCTGAACTCAGGAATAGATTCACAATATCTGCCAGGGAGACCTGCTAGCTTTCACCAGCCATAATGGACATGGTTCTAGGAAACAAGTGGTGGGCTTCACAGCACTCAGGATCCTGTCAACCTCATCCTGAGAGAGTTGGTTGAATGGATCCATTAGTGGATCGAGACACAGCCAAGGGGCCTCGAGTTCCCACACTGTATCAACACTGGCAGGCAGGTCTTGGCAGAGCGACAAGATTTTATCCACAAAATAGCTCACAAAGGCCTCACAGCTAATTTCCAAATTACTAATTTTTTGAGTTCCCTCTGAAAGGGAAGTTAATGACCTGATTACCCTATATAATGTTCCAAACGAGAGCTAGTGGATGCAATGGAGGCCGCATAGAATTCTTTTTTTGCAGCTTTCACTGCCATCTCATAAAAAGGTAAAGGTTCCCTTGCTCAAAAGCCAGTCGAATCCGACTCTAGGGTTGCGGTGCTCATCTCCATTTCAAAGCTGAAGAGCCAGCGCTGTCTGAAGACATTCCCGTGGTCATGTGGCCGGCATGACTAAACACCAAGGCGCACGGAGCACTGTTACCTTCCCACCGAAGTGGTACCTATTTATCTACTTGCAATTTCTTGCTTTCGAACTGCTAGGTTGGCAGGAGCTGGAACTAGAGATGGGAGCTCACTCTGTCATGCAGCAACTCGGGTCTCAAACTGCTGAACTACTGACCTTCCACAGCCTGCAGTTCAGCGTCTTAACCACTTGAGCCACCGCAGCTCCTTTTTTTGGGGCCATCTCATAGGCTTTCATAAATGTCCTATAAGATGTTCTTGTAGCTTCATCATGAGTCCATCGCCAAACTCACTCTAGCTGTCTAAGCTCCAACTTCATCCTCCAAAGCTCCAAGGTATACCAAGAAGCTAATTTGGATCGGGGCGAAGAGGGCATCAGGGAGCGATTTCATTGATGGCTTCAGAAAGACAGTAATTCCTGTCTTCCATCAGCTCATCTAACGTTGCCAGGGGGCACTGGATCCTGCAGAACATTCTGGAAACCAACTGGATCCATCAGTCTCCATGGGCGAGCATAAATCAGCTCACCATCTGAGCAGGGAGGGGCTGGGACATTCAGACGGGCCTTCAAGACAAAGTGGTCCAACCATGGCACTGCATCAATGGCATCCAGGTCCACATCTATCCCCATCCCAAAGATCAAATCCAGCATATGGCCTGCTTGGTGTGTGGGGTCTGATACAACCTGAGAGAGTCCCAGTGCTGCCATAGAAGACACAAGGTCCATAGCCTGTGAGGTCCATAGCCTGTTCATAGACATGCTCCCACTATGGTTGAAACCTGGACGGGGAAAATGTCTTGCCCCTTTAATAAAGGTTTAGTGAGTGGAAATGGACAACTAAACCAAACAACATCACCTGATAACAGCTTGCAGATCAAAGTGATATTATATGGAAAGGTTAGGGGATCAGTTGAAAGGTTAGCCATCCCAGCCCTCATGTGGACACCCAGCATAGTCAGAAGACACATGAGGAAGCATGGGCCCACTAATCCACAATGACATAGCATTTTGACCCAATGCAATGAGAAGACAAAATTAGGTGCAAAATTGCCCAACTTTGCTCTTTCTGAATGTCGGATGATTAATTTGCTGGACCTAATATTTATAAGCCACATGAAAGCTAGGAAACTGACAGTGCAAACAGTAAACTGGTGAATTTGGGAAGTCAACATATCTGGCAGAGTCCTAATAAAAGACTATTTCACAAAGTTCCATGCAACTCATACCTCTGTTTTGAGGGCAGGAAGAGAAAGGGCATATTTATGACTCTTTCCAAATTCAAAGACACATGTCTGAAAAGCGAAATGCCTGAAGGAAGTAAAACAGCAACCACAACCCCTTGGGTGACTCTTGCAAAGAGAAATTCTTTGTTACAAACAAACTCTACAAAAATGTTCAAGGTGGCTCACAGCATCATTAAACAAAGATAAACAACTAAAAACGCAAAACCATCAAGCATCAGCAAAAATACATCACCTCACTCAAATAACAAGAAAATAAACTGCATCAAAATTCACTGAGATTAAAACAATAAGTATCTAAACATAATGGAAGCAGTGAAAAATATGAGCATAGCACATACATGCCCAACAGAATGCTTGTACAAATAATAAAGGTTTTCACCAGAAACCTAAAGTTCAACAAGCTGGGTACCAAGGAGAGCATTCCACAGCTGAGGCATGATCACTAAAAAG